ATGTCTGTGCATTTAGTTCGCATGTGTGTATGTATGTGTGTGCATTATACACGTGCATGTGATAAACAATTAAATTCGATATTTATTTTAAGATATTATACAACATTTTGCATTGCAATAGCGTCAAATTAGTTTACTTAAATAAGTACATATATCTGGCATCGGTTCATCAGGAGAGTGGCAAAAGTGCAGCCACATAAATAAATATATTTATGAACTTGAACGGGCACTTTGTGCGCTCAAAATGTTTGTTTAACTGCTTGTTTACTTTGAATTCAAATATTTGATTTGCATTCTCGGTAAATTTAGTAGTGAAACTTTTTTCAAGGCAATGATGTGTGTAATTGGTAAGGTCGTAGGCGTGCACGGCGGAGTGGTAAGAGTCTCAAGAGCCCATAATACCACGACAGTTGGCCTTTTCCTTGGTAACAAAGGGCAATTTTAAATACATACTTATGCCTTCACCCATATGTAGAAAAAGGAATAAATGTAAATATCATATGTACATTAGGGTGGTCCTTAAAAATGTACGATTTTTTTTTAGTCTCACCCCCTCAATCGGTAATACCGCGGTCACAGATATCACTTTACTTTGCCCCTGTGCGACACACCTTAACCGACTTTAATCGGGACCAAAATTTATATGTGATATCTTCTACTCGAATGTCTCACCTACAGCTGAGTCTATTCTTGGGTCGCCATAGATATCCAACAGTGACCAGTGATGAGCATCACAAATATCCTTTCCTGACCCAGATGTTTCTAATTACTCTACAAATTATCTCTACCGCAACTTTTTCTCACTCTAATGCACTTACGCACATCTGTTTTCCGCGTACTTTTGCTGATTTTTATGGCATGGGAATATACGAGGAATTTGTGTGGATACTGAATTACATACATACGAAGTATTTCACGTCGAAAATTTTAAATTTCCGTTTGTGAGCTTATTTTACTTTCTTGTACTAAATAATTCTTTAAATTGCGGGTTTTCAGATATCTTATGGAGGTCTTCATTCGATTTTTTTTCATTGCCAAAAATTTTTGTTGTCGTGAAAAATAGTTTTACTTCTTATCGAGGCTATTTTTTAAAAATTGTGGTTGTACCTACATACATAGTTTCGTAATTCCGAACGCATCCGAAGTAAAAAAAAAAATTATTGTCGCCATTTCGAAGCTGCATGTACATAAGTATCATCTCATCGATCAGCTCGATACTCATTTGGTATAAGTTAAACAAATTTATACACACCCAAATTAAATCCAACCTTCCTCCTAGACCATTGATTAATACATCTTCTGATCTGCGAAGCCACATACATAAATATTCAATTACCAAATATTTTGAATAATTGAAACAACAAATGATGAAAAGTTCATATTTATAGTTTTGTTTAATGTATGTATATATTCAGTATTATACTTAGATTTATTAATTGTATGTAGCTAATTAAATCTATGACTAATTTGCGATGAACATATGTGAGGGTGTATATGCTTTTCAGCAATGAAAGTATATACATATGTACATATATATGTGGAAATCTCAGCCTACAAATTAAAATAATAATATGCTCATGAATATTTGCTTATGACAGTCATTGATTTTCAAGTTCATTTACGTAGGCCAAACACCTGAATTTAAGCAATTCAATTTAGCTGAAAATAGAAATGCAAACGTTAATATATACGATTATGTATGTACATATGTACATTAGAGTGGTCCAATAAATCCAATTATTTTTTTAGTATATTCAGTGCTTACGAAAATTTGTATATTATATGATTTTTGGTGGCCGCTCAAGTCCATCTTTTTTATTTAAAATTACTCATGCTTCAATCTGCGCGAACAAAATATTAAAAACAATTAAAGAAGTATAAGTTCGTGGGAAACCAAACTTTATATAATAATAAATGGGGCGGTGCCACGCCCAATTCCTAAAAGTGTATAACAGTCGTTATTATTGTTAACAGATTGCTATAACTATTAACTTGAAGTAAATAAGCGTCCTCAGTTACTGAAATATTGGAGTTTTCGTTTTTCTGAAATTTACCGTTATACGGAAGCGGGTGTAATTTTAGTCCAATTTGAATAATTTTCAACAAATTGCTTTTCCGTACCAAAGTTATTAAGTGCACTGAGTGTGGCAGAAATCAATACATAGGTTACCGAGATACACATTTGTGGTCATAAGGGGGCGGCGCCACGCCCATTGACCAAAACATTATAATAATCCAATTTGATGCTAAATTGTTATTGCAATCATTGATTAGTGGCGGGGTCAAGCCCATTTCCAAAAACTTTCATTATAATATTATTTTGTATGAAAATTCTTCTTCACATACTAATTTTCAACAATTTGTATCCAATGTTTACTGAAATATCGTAGTTTTTGCATTTTTTCTAAAATACCGTTATATGGAAAGTAGGCGTAGTTACAGTCCGATTTCGCCCATTTTCAATACCACCCTACGTACCAAATTTCGTTACGATATCACAATTTTCGCTCGAGTTATCGCGTACACGGACGGACGGACGGAGAAAATTTTGTTCTGCTTTTTTATTTTTTTTACGTTTTTTTAATTTTTCTCAGTATCTCTGGATCAGTCGTTAGTGCAAATAAACTTGTATGTATGCATATTTCAAACAGACATATTTACATTAGGGTGGTCCAAAAATGCATGAGAAAAAGTAAAGTCGGAATTTTAATGCTCTCACCCCCTAGGATTGTTCTATGTCGAAAAATATACCTCTCTTTTACTCTTTTGGACCACCCTAATGTGCATATACACCTGTATATATAAAAACCCCCTAGGATTGTTCTATGTCTAAAAATATACCTCTCTTTTACTCTTTTGGACCACCCTAATGTACATATACACCTGTATATATAAAAAAATATATCTGCAAGCCTTACGCACGGTATTTAAAAATAGCAAGAAAATTCATTGAATATTTTGCTAATGCATGATTTTAAATTCAATAAAAAAAAAATTTACAAAAAAATTATTTAGCAAAAATTAAGTCAGAAGTTATCATGACTCAATACGTCGTACAGTGGGAAATTTTCGACAATTTTTTTGCCAACAAATTCTGGAAGAGTAAACTTTTTACCGAATTGAATATTTCCTTTTTTAATACATGGAACGAATTTTAGAAAAGATTGTCTAAGCCCGAACTTAAGAAGAGAAATTGATTTTTATCAGCAAATGGTGAAAGTCGGCAAATTTAAAAAAACAAAACCATCCAACAAAAAGTAGTATTTTTCCTGGTGCAAATCTCTAATTTTAAAAGTGTTAAAAACTTTTTGTGGACACGTTGAATTCGATCCTGATGATAGACAGAATCGTGAGATTCAAAACCATTCCAAGTACTTAAAAAATCCTGGACTTTTGAACAAAATTTTACACAGTGCATCTTCCACTCAGATTGTTT